GCAAGTATACAGTATACACATTCATATGCTATTTTACAGCTAACAGTTTTGGGGTTATCCACACTCATTCTGGAAGATGTATGAAATCAGCTGGAACAGGAGTAGCTTACACCCAGATGTTTTAAGATAATACCAACCTGTTATTACTGTTCAAAATGTACAAAAAACAGACGGGCCATACAAATACAACATCATTAAGTGAAGATATGTAAAAGTATAAAAAATAAGCTGACAGGAGACAGGACTACTTACTTNTTGCCACGGAAGGCAAGTGGCAGCTACCGTAAACCTTCTCTTAACTCTTAACTTGTGGCATTTACTTGCCACGGCGAGTTGTGGCATATACTACTTGCCACGGCAAGTTGTGGCATATATAAGTTGTGGCATATACTTGCCACGGCAAGTTGTGGCATGGTTGTGGCATATACTTGCCACGGCAAGTTTTGGCATCTGTGGCATATACTTGCCACAGATACCACATCTGTGGCATATACTTGCCACAGATACCACGGAGTAGCGGCCTCCGTGGCAGATGCCGGAAGTACTTGCCACTGCCCGCAGATGCCACGAAATGCGCTGGCTGTCTCTCCATTCTGGAAGATGTATGAAATCAGCTGGAACAGGAGTAGCTTACACCCAGATGTTTTAAGATAATACCAACCTGTTATTACTGTTCAAAATGTACAAAAAACAGACGGGCCATACAAATACAACATCATTAAGTGAAGATATGTAAAAGTATAACAAATAAGCTGACAGGAGACAGGACTACTTACTTGGTGAGGAGAGCAATGAAAAGCTATTACTTTTCAGTCGTGTTAACAGCGGAGCTCCATTTGGTATTATTTCGCTGTTGGTCAGTTGGATTACCAAACTTCTTCAAAAACTGTTGGATAGATTTCCGGGTGTCAAACACTGTGCTGCTGTGAATCAAACCCCTTATGGAAGTTGGCATCACCAAGCTGCTACCTCTGCTGCGAGGAGGAGGATGGAAAAACCCAGAAGAGCCGGGCCAGCAGCTGCATGCACTGATGTCCCCGAGCTGGATATTCTGACAGATTTCTTGTATCAACTGAGATAGAAGCTAGACTAACCTCCTGTTTCAAGCCTAAGCAGTAATAAACTCATGCATAAGACACACACTTTAACTCAGTGACCAAATGCTTTATTATTTATTTAGCGCAGCTGCACTAGAGCCATAAGCCAAATGACATATAGGATAGGACTAGTATAGTTCGTAGGAAATTATTAACCAAAGCTGTCTTTCCTATAGCTCTACAAAGCATGGTATCTTTTAGCTCAATGTTTGGTTATCCTCCACATACTTTTGTGGTTTAGGATCACTCTCAATGCTCTCAGAACAGTCAGAGACTAGCTAAACATGGAGCATTTAGCAGCTGAAGATATTTAACTGAGGAGTTGGAAGAGACTAAATAAGTAAAGATTTCTCCAAGGATGAGCATTTCATAACACTGCTGGACTCATGACGGATAGTTACAGAAAGAAAAAATATCAAAATAAAAGCATCTGAACTGAACATGCCGTGAACGTGTCTTGTCATTTAAGCCACCTAGCTTTTATGTTTGCAGAAACTGAAAGCCTCTATCATGTTGGAATCTTTTAAATGGACCTGGTTTAGAATTCCAGGAGCCATGGCCTACTTTTCTTTGCATTGGTCCCAGAAAAAAAAGTATTCATAGTACATTTAAGTTAATGTCTTTAAAGAGGTTCAACACCGGTGTCAATGCTCAAAAAGTGGGCACCCTTATAGGAGGTACTTTTTTTGGGTGGGAGCTCTGCTTTTCGAACAAGTCCTGACATCACACCTGGACAAATATAAGCATAACAGCGTCGTGTTTCCAAAGCAGAGGGCGCCATCTTGTGGCCGCTATGTACCAGCACGGAGAGGGTGGAGCTAAACATGGGGAGTGAGCCTGAACTTGCCCTCTTGTTATGTTTTGATATCGGGAACTTCGGGAAGTAAGGCCGTCATGGTTCATGAGGAACTCTCGGCCCGTCTCAACGACAGAGGGTACAAAAACTGGGTGAAAGCAGGCCAGTGTCTGGTCATCCTGAAGAACGGACTGCACCCCTTCATCAGCTGCCACATGAAGGCTTTCCACGGAGACCTGCTCAATCAAAACGCTCTCCTCCGGAAACCGTGTGAGACTCATTCATGCAAGCCCAAAGGGAATAAGGTTAGATTAGCCTGTAAATTCTGTTTAGTCTTGCTATTTAAATTCTTGTTTCTACACCACTTTAATGTGGTAAACTGCAGGGGTTTAGAGTAATTTAGTAGATTTACTTAAGTACTCTAGGCTACAAGTACAACTTTGAGGGACTTGTATTTTACTTGAGTAGTTCAACGTTTTGCTACTTTGTACTTCTACTACACATCGAGTTAAAACGTGTACTTTTACATTTTTTTACTCCATATACATTTAGTTACTTTGCAGATTTGGATTAGTAGTGTGAAATATAATCAACACTTAAATAATACTTTATTATTTACACCTGGAGTAAATTTAAAAGCTACCCTGCAGTATACAGTAAGTAATTCAAATGAGCTGCACCTTCACCAGCTTTGATAACACTTTGATGGATCAAATTATAAACAATAAACTGCATAATGATTGGTACTTTGCTGCTATAGGGACTTCAGTAACATTTTGATTGCAGGTATTTTACTTGTAACATTGTATTCTAGACTGATGTATTTCTACTTTTACTAAAGTACAATATATGAGTACTTCTTCCACCTCTGGTTGTTGGGGAAATATTTTCCTAGGCCCATAACTTTGACCCAGTTTATCAGTTTGTACAGCCCTCACTGAGCACAGGCCTCTATCCTTGGCCTGCTGTGCTCTCTGTTCTGTCTCCCTATTGCTGCCTGTTGGTGTCAGCTGATAGAGGTGTTATAGTGCTTTGCCTGTTTTATCTTGTTATGCACAATGTAGATTATTCTCTCTGAACCAGCTAAATACATGGGTCTGGGGTAAAGATCTTCAGAATTGGTTTGGCAACCACTGAGTCACCTCGTGGCGACAGCTCATGTCCTGTTAGTTCTCCGGCCGTTAACTCCATCATGAACCCTCAGTGTTTGCCATCAAGCTCCAGCTCTTCCTGTGTCTCTCTGAGTTTCGTCTACTCCATTGCTCCAGAAGTTTCCATCACACTGGTAAACTGTGATACACAGTTATTATGAGTTGACTGTGATCATATCATCCCATATGGCCAATTTGCTCCTACAATAGCTATAGTGGTAGTGATGTGTTTTAATGAACAAATCGTTTTGAATAGCTTTTGTGTTGGGTATGAACTGTGTGTGAACTGTGTACAGTATGTGTATGAACTTTCCGGTGCTACGTTCAATACTACTTAGATTGTAGGAATAAAAAAATGTATGCAGTTGAACCTTTTTTTGATGATCGTCAATGTATTGAATAGAAGTTGAGGGGCAGTAGCTACCAGTTTCACTTTTATTTACAGTTTATGTATTGCAGGTGCATGCTCAATAGTGTAACAGAGAAACTGACATATATTATGCATAAAGTATCAAAACTAATTTTTTAAATGTCCAATATATATACAATGTTAACAGTACTGCGAAAAAAGTTAATCTGCACAACACCAAGTATGTATTACATAAGTGGTAACTGTGTGTGTGTGTGTGTGTGTGTGTGTGTGTGTGTGTGTGTGTGTGTGTG